TGGAAACCAGATAACTGTGGTTTAATCTCTGACTAGAAATGAGGATATGAAATCAAGCTTTTGCAACTGGGAGGGCTGTTTCCTTCAAACCCTTATGATGGACTGAATAGACCTGAGGTAAAAAAATTTACATTTTTTGCCACAATGTTGTAGTGCATGAAAGTAACTTTTCCAAGCCATGAAACAGAGTTTTGCAGGGATCCAGCAACACCTTTCTCATATTTTATGAATGTTACATTCTTAAATTGTGCATAAGGTGGAAAACATGAACTGTATTAATCATAACCCACGTTTAATGTTTTTAGGCTGGTCTATGGTTCAAAGAAAGTGAAGATTTAGTAATTCCAGAAAGTCTTACAGAACCTTTACCATTTAATCGTCAGGAGCATCTTCTAAAAGTAAGTATCCCATATTTACAGACCACAATGTAAAGCAGAATTGAGCCTAGTTAAAACCACCAACTTCAATGGACTCAAAAATCTGTATGTCTTACCTTGTTGGCTATTGTTTTGTTTCACTATGGGCCACCCTGTGGTGGGGAATGAGATTTGTGGCATAGCTTGAACATTTACCTTTTTGGTGATACCATCCAGAATCCCTTGGCCAGAATGGCCCATGGCCATGTTGACTGAGGGCTCTTGTCCAAGAAAGGAACTTTGCCATTTTCTGCTTCATCGTAAACACAAATATATCAGTCTCCTATTCAAATGGCTAAGGTGTAAGATCCAATTAATTTGAATTAGCAGTTCAAAGGGCCATATTATATTCCCAAGAAAAAGACATGTAGAATCAGTTCTTTGAAAAAAAGTATTATTATTTTCTTTTAGTTGTCTGAAATCTCTTTCCAGAAGTTTAAGATTCACAATAAAGTAGCTATAAATTCAACCTCAAAGAAAACAAGCAGAAGTTACAAAAAAATTATAACCCACCCTCTTTTTCCCAGCTCTTCCTATCACAGAATAATTGAGTTGGAAGGGGCCTATGAGGCCATCAAGTCCAGTGCCCTGCTGCACTTCAGGGCAGTTTCTTTAGTAAGAGGCGAACGATTTATGCAATTTGAAGAGAAACCAGAGGACAGCTTCTGCCTCTACTCCTAGCTAACATCCCAAAAGCCTGTGGACGATAAAATGAAACGAATGCTTCTGGAAGGCCATAGACTATAAGATCGTAAAAATGTAGAGGCCTGAGAATAGTAGAAATCAATCCTCTGCCAAAGCAGGAGAGGCAGTAAGATGTATAACACCAGAGATTGAAATAGTTCCTTTTAAAAACTGCAGCTCTTGTAATGCTCCCAATCAGCATTCATGCCTGTAGGCTAACTGCTTTCTATGCACTGTTTGCAGTCAGCTCTGCAAAACCCATGCGTTCTCCCAATTATAACAGTTGCCCAGAATCTTGCAGTTACCATTTCAGCCAACGGATTTCAGAGAAACTGCTTTTCTGTATGACTAGTCAATGAGCAAAGTCATTCGTTCTTGTGTTCTCAAAGGCTTTTGAGAACCTCCAGAACACGGCCAAACACCCTGAAAACACCACAACAATCGTCAAAGTCATTCATTGTTGATTTTGTTTACTATTCTTAGTGTGGCATTTGATTGATTCTTTTAAAATATTTGTATACATGCTAGTTTTAGCTTTTAAACACTGTCCTTTAATGTTATAAGCTGCCTTGGGTCCTTTTCAAGGCAAAAGGACGAGTAAATATATTATGAATGCATGAATGCATGCATGCATGCATGCATGAATGAATGAATGAATGAATAAATAAATAAATAAATAAATAAATAAATAAATAAATAAATAAATAAATAAATAAATAAATAAATAAATGAGCTTGTGGATATGTAAGCAAATGTTTTTCCTTAGAACGAACTCCAGTGCTATAAGGGATACCGACTACTTTTAAAAAATGAAATCTTAGAATACAAGGCACTTTATGGGGTAAACAGGCATCAGTTGATGGGTCTAAAATCCAGACCAAACCTGGCCAAACAAGTATATAAACTGAGTAAATAAATAATATGGCAATCTCAATCCTGAATACATTTATCTAGGGTTCAGTTTCAACTATTCTCTCAAAAGTGCTGCATTTGTATAATGGAGTCTTAAATATTTTCATAACAAATGGAGAGAGAGAAATATGGAACCAATATGTTCCCTGGTGGGTGGCTTTCAAACATAATGTGGTTTATTATGCTGCGATAAAGTGTGTTTGCATTCTGTATTAAGTGAAATCTCTACTACCTCTCAAACAACTACCTATGTTTCCAAGCCTGGCACTAGATTTGGCATGATGCCCAGCTCACTGGGCTTATCTGATGGTGGTTAGCTGGCAGGCTGCAACACTTGCAAGCCACACTGAATAGTATGTAGTTTTAGAAGAGGTAGCAGTGTTAATCTGTGCAAGCATATCAGGCAAAACCCAAAGAAACAAAACAAAACAAAAGACAAAAACATGTAGCACCTTAAAGGCTAACTATGATATTTTAATGTGAGCTTTCGTGGACACGTCGACTTCATCAGACACCCGGAAACAGAATAAAATAATGGATGAAATACCAGTTTCACAAGTAGAACATTCTAAGTCTTTATTGGCTGTAGGTGCCACACACCCAAGACTTATACAACCAATGAATATTTAGAATGCTCTACTTGTGAATCTAGGGACGTGGTGGCGCTGCAGTTAAACTGCAAAGCCTCTGGGCTGCAAGGTCGAAAAACCAGCAGTTTGAATCCACGTGATAGAGGGAGCTCCTGTCGCTTGTCCCAGCTCCTGCCAACCGAGGAGTTCGAAATCATGTAAATGTGAGTAGGTAAATAGGTACCACCTCAGTGGGAAGGTAACGGCGTTCCATGACTAGTCGCACTGGCCATGTGATCACGGAAACTGTCTACAGACAAATGCTGACTCTACGGCTTTGAGATGGGGATGAGCACCGCGCCCTAGAGTCAGACATGACTGGACTAAATGTCAAGGGGAACCTTTACCTTCACCTTTTTTTAACTTGTGAAACTGATATTTCATCCATTATTTCATTCTGTTTCTATATGTCTGACAAAGTGGATGTGTCCCCAAAAGCTCCCATTAAATATCATAGTAGTTCTTTGTGGCCTCTGTGAATCATACACTGGGTGATCCGTGCCTGCACAGAGCCTCACTGGAAAGTTCTAGAGCTTCTGTGGTAGCAGAAAACACATTAGAATAAGACCCCTCCACCCTTGTACAAGTACCTTGGCGCCAAGGCTCCCCTTTCAGTTTTCTTTCAACCGCCGCATTGAGAGCCTCATAATTCTGCTTCTGTGAGTAAAAGAGAAAAAGAGTTTTTTCTTGATTCTTTCCTGTTATCAATCTTTTTTCCTTTAAACTTTTACATCAAATTCATTATCATCAGAGATTTTTTTCCTTTCTCCTTCGCTCAGCCTCCATCCACAGCACACACACCCATCATTGCTTTTTCTCCTCAAATTATTTCTCTCCTATTCATGGCTCCTTTGGGCCTGTTTAAATACCGTGTGGTCTGTGATAACAAAATACCACTCTCCAACGGCCACACCAAGTATCTTTTTTGCTTAGGAGAGGCACACCAGACGTCCTCCTGCCAGCATTGTCAAAACTTCAAGTGCGGAGTTCTCCGTTCTTGCTTATCCAGATTAAAATTCCATCTTTGGGAACAATCCCTTCAGCCAACCAAAATGGCTCAACCTCCTTGTAAGGCCACCTCACAAACCAAAGCAATGGAGAAGGCTCTTTCTGAAGCCTCAAAACAACATCCATCCCACTCCGACGCTCCATCCACTTTGTCTAAAATTTTAAAAACCCATAAATCAAAGCACTCAATACCAAAATCCTCGATATTGAAGCCCTCCACTAAATGTCAAATGTCCACCGAAGCCTCTTCAGTCCCAGAGCCCTCTCCACCTAAAAGACCTCAAGAGGATAAATCTAAAGCTGCAGTCATCTCTCAGCAGCCTCAACAAACCACCGAATCAATCTCTATTGGTTTGCCTTCTGACGATGACGGAATTCCCTCTCATCAACCCTGCTCCCAATCACTGGAATGGGATGACAAAGTCGATCGATTAACATCTTCTCCTCCCAGTCCTCAACACTCTGTTCTTTTTTTTTCTTTTTTTCTTCTTTTTCATTATATAAAATCCATCCATGTTGATTTAACATCGTGCCACCTGGGTACAGCTTATAATCATTTGTTTAAACAACGACCATACATATTACACTCCTAATCTACTTAGTCTATCTATTTCGGCGCAGTCCAATATCTTTTTAATTGTTTCTTGATCTGTAGGTGTTTCTTCCTTTTTCCAGTACTGTGCATATATAATCCTCGCAGCTGTTAAAATATGCAGTATTAAGTATACATTTTGTTTATCAACACTTTCTGGTATTATACCTAACAGAAAGAGCTCTGGCCTAAAGTCTACATGCTTTTTGATTATTTTAACAAGCCATATATGTATTTTATTCCAAAAGTTTTTTGCTTTATCACAAGTCCACCAGAGATAATAATAGGTTCCAGTTTTTTTATGACATTTCCAACATTTACTTGGCCTATTAGAATACATCTTAGACAATCTGTCAGGAGATAAATGCCATCTATAAAACATTTTATATAAATTCTCTTTATAGGATGTTGCCATTGTCATCTTATAGTTTCTAGACCACAGCTCTTGCCATTTTTCAAAGTCAATATTGTATCCAAAATTTTGTGCCCATTGAACCATTGTTTCTTTGACCTGTTCATCCTCCATTTTCCAGTTTAAAAGGAATTTATGTATTTTCCTAATTAGTTTATCATCTGATGTTAACATTACTTGGTCCAAAGTTGTCTGTTCTTTATAAAAGTCATAGCAACCCTTCCGGCTTTTACAGCTCCAGCCTCCCAATATTTTCCTGCTAATCCAGAGGAGGGAAATCACCTTGACTTTTCATGTCACCAACCACCTCCTAAAGGTTGACAGGTGACATCTCAAACTATATCTAGATGGGTGGCTTCAACCATTCACCTCATGTATCAGCTGGCACGCAAGCCATTCCGGAAGGTGATTTGCCCTCACTTCACCAGAGCAGTGACGACCTCTATGGCATTCCTACATGGCGTACCTCTTCCAGACGTCTGCGCCTCTGCCACCTAGGTACAGCCGTCCACTTTCATCTGGCATTATAGATTTGATCTCTGGCAGAAGTCTGATGCGGCCTTTGGATGTGCTGTTCTAGCCTCTATCTTGGCGTGACACCTTGCCTCTGGGTAAGACAGCTTTTTAGTCACCCAGGGTGTGATTCACAGAGGCCACGGAGAAGAACGACAGGTTGCCCACCTGTAATTGTAGTTCTTTGAGTAGACCTCTGTGATTCACACATCCCGCCCGTCCTCCCCTCTGTCATGCCATTCTGCTTAATGTAGCAGCGGTTGACACAACTGAAAGGGCAGCCTTGGTGCCAAGATACTTATACGAGGGGGGAGAGGCCTTATTCTAATGTGATTTTTTGCTACCACAGAAGCTCTAGAACTTTCCGATGAGGCTCTGCACAGGTGCAGATCACTCAGGGCATGAATCACAGAGGTCCACTCGAAGAACTACAATTACAGGTGGGTAACCTGTCGTTAGTCTGTAAGATGCTTTAAGGTCTTGTCTTATTTTGTTTTGATTCTTTGGATTTTGACTGAAGAGTTTGGTCTCTGAGCTCTCTGTTGTTCTCATTACTTGTCATGCCTGTGTTGTCGGGTAATTTCCAAGATGAGTCAGAGGCTAATAAAGACCTCTCCCCACAATCCAAGAGAAGACAAACAGAAAATATTATAAAAATGCTTACAGAACGTAGACTGTTGTTCTCCCCACCTGAAACAGAATCACTTGCGACATACTTATTACATATACATGCACTTTTCCCCATGGCTGAAATGGTAAATGAGGGAGTGATGCTAATGTTGTATGTATCTCTGAATGGGTCCTGACCCCTTGTTAATGAAATTAAATGAAATCTCCCATATATCAGTTCATTGAAGTCTGTTTCTCTTTACAGTTTATCTTTACATTATTTTCTGATCCTGAAAAAGACCCTCCACAGCTGAACTATACTGAGATGCTCCTGTATTTTGCCTCCAACCCTGATGCTATTGAAGGTGTCTACCAGGCTCTCAGTGTTGCAACTGGAACACAGATCAAAAGGAAAAAAGATAAATTCTCAACTATTCCCCGTTTGGTAAAAGTATTGTTCTTGAAAATGACAATTATCCAGTGTTTGTTGTCTTATTTCTTAAAGTCAGACTCTTAATGGTCCTTCCATTTAAGGTTTGTTTAAATACCACTGCACAAGGATGAAATGAGAATGCACTGCTAGTGCTCCATGTGTGTTTTTAACGCAGTCATGATTTATTTTCCAGTACTGGATTGATTCTACACTAACACCTTAGTCTGGAACTGCTTTCTTTCACTCACTCTTCCCCTCTTCCCTTTCTGGCGAGTCCAGGCACTGAGGTTTTCAACTCGTTGCATTTCAGTGCTTTCTAACCCTATCCTTACTCTATCCTAGAAGGTGGCAATCTCTTAAATCTAAAAGCAAGTGTGCTACCATGCTCTTTGACGCTGAGCCTCATGGTATGAATAAACTGCAGAACTGCAAGCATAACTTTGCTCAAGACCGGGGTTCAATCCCAGGTAGCCAGCTTAAGGTTCACTCAGTCTTCCACCCTTCTAAGATTGGTAAATTGAGTACCCAGCTTGCTGCAGTGGGGAGGGGGATGTACAGTGGTGCCCTGCTAGACGCTTACCCCGCATGACGTCGAAATCGCCTGACTATGACATTTTTGCGATCACTATGGCTGCTTCACGGTTCCGCAAAATGGCTTCCCTCTCTTCTCAAAATGGCTGCCTTCTGGTTCCGCAAAATGGCTTCCCTCCGCAAAATGGCTTCCCTCCCTTCTCAAAATGGCTGCTTTCCGGATGGAAGCTTTGCATTACAGTGATTTTTAACAGCTGATTGGCAGTTCTCTATGGGCAATCTTCGCTGGACGATGAGGTATTTCCCCCATTGATGACGATTTCGCTTAACAGCGATTTAGCTGAAATGCATTATCATCGTCAAGCGGGGCACCACTGTATAGCCTACATAATTAAATTGTAAATTGCCCAGAGAGAGCTTTAAGCACTATGGGTTGGTATATAAGCAGCATGCTTTGCTTTTTTTTCTTTTTCTTTTTCTTTTCCTGGTAGGGGCTGGTAAACTACTGTTGATGCCTTTCAAGACTGCTGTACCTTTAATTAATAGCCCTGAAAGACTATTGAAGCCTTTCAAGCTTAGTGTAATTTTCTTCTTTAAAGCTCTGTGACCCTTCAGTTCCGGCACAAATACACAAATAGCCTACACTGACCGCCTGTTAAAATTTTCAGGGAGGGTACCCTCTGCCCCAGCCATAACTCATTTATGCCATTACTGTTGCCTTCTCAAGTCTTTGTCTTTTTCCTATTTACCTAAAACAATCCTGCTATTTTGCTATTCTGTAAAAGAAAAGAAAACAAGGAGATATAAATATTAACCTCCTGGTGGCAGACTTTATATCATATTCTTCACAAAGGCTGTATCAAAGATGGATCAGAAAATGCTTTGGATGCACTTGTGAACACCATGCCACAAACAAGAAGGTCATGACATCAATCAGATATCTCTTCTGCTCCTTTGAATCTCCATTCTGTTTATGGAGAAAGGCAGCGTCTGACTATCTTGTTAGGCCACTTCTCTGCAGCCTTTCAGAACAACCACTCTTAGATTCCTTGTGAGTGAAACAGTTTTGAAACCAGTTTGTGTTTCTAGCCTAGACATGGCCTGGTTGGGTTTTCCACTTTTAAGTAAATGCTGCATGCAAAAGTCTCATCCAGAAGGGAAAAAACTATGGAATATTTGGGGGGGGGAGAGAAATGTCATTCATCTTTTTTTTAGCTCACCATAGAGCTTGGGAAAGTTCCTTGAACTTGGGAAAGTTCCTTGAACTCCATCCTTCTGGGGGATGCTAGCAGTTGTAGTCCAAAAGGTAACTTTTCCAAGTCCTAGATCAGAGCCGAGAGCAGGAGGCCCAAAGAGAGTTCACATTGTCAGATATTGACCACTATCCTGAGCCATTCCTATTTCTATGAGCAGTAGTGTAGTATTTTGGTTTTGTTTTATACAACACCATTGGAAGCTTTATGGCCTTATTCTGATATATATATTTTATATAGATTATCTTGGATTGGACTGTCAGCAGTCATTCCCCCTAGAGACTCAAAATGACCCACCAGAAGCCTTTATGAGGCTGCCTTTCCCAGGCAAGCTGCAATGAGTTTCTCTGTTGCTTGGCTACACTGCCTCTCCTAAACAGAGGGTCTTGCTGTAAAACATACACACACTGCTCTCAACTTTATCTTTACTAGTAGGTGTGCTCAGGAAGGTGGTAGCATCAACCCCTCTTAATTAATATATTGATAGTCAATGAACTAGCATACAAAAACCGTTGTGATGTGTTGTGATCTTCTTCCCCAGTTTACTCCTTCCGCTGAGCGGCTAATAGCAAGTGATGCCCATGATGATTTGGTGGAGGAGGAAGCTGGTGAAGAAACTGAGGATGAAGACGAAGACAAGGAAAAAGAAGACGAGGCAGAGTCTTTCACCAATGAAGGAAACATTTCTCTGGCTACACTCCTCAGAGTGTTCCGGCATGAAACAAACAAGGCTGCTGACAACCACAGATTTAGTGGTTATCTAACAGCAGAGGACAATTATGAGGTGGGTTAATTAGCCACCGTTAGTTCCAAATACATATTGGATTAGCTTGTGCCCTATAGGTTACATGGTGAATCCAGGCGCTTGTGGTAAGTTACGTATCAGTTGTTAAAAGTTAACAGAAACATTGGAAGCTGAGTCAAAAATACCTCATGTTCCTTCTGAGATGAGTTTTTCAGGTGTGGGATACTTGAAATGTGCATTATGTAGAAATTTATAGAGACTGGTCACCAAAGAGGGTGATGTGAATACAGCAAATTAGAGTTCTAACACAAAGGCCACTAGCTGAAGAATAAGGAGCCCTTGTCCATTTCTGTCTTCTCTAGCAGTTGTTGTAATGCAAGTCCATTTCCCCAATAAAGTAAGCCATTTGTATTTTCTTTCAAAGCATTTCATTAAGGTATACAAGGATCTTGGTTCTGAAGCACTGGAACCCATCCCAGTAGCACTTCTTTTGAAGCATCCTTTCATGCAAGATTTAATTAACAATTACCAGGGATATAAACTTCATGTGAGTATTCTTTTTCTTGTAAGTACTCGGTACTCAGAACCTTTTAATTTTCATTGTTCAGAAGATAAAATGTTATAGAGAGGGCAATGTGTACAATGACATTTATGAGAACAGTTTGGTTGGGAGAGTGAAGAGAAGGCATCACTTTAGGTCATGAGTGAGCATCTGTGGGGTTGGGCTGCGACTCCCATCAAGCTAGAGAGTAGCAATAGATTATGGAAGTTGCAGTCCAATACCATTAGGAAAGCTACAGTTGCCAACCCTCATCTGGGACAAGGCTGAATAATCTTTGATATTCATCTTGAACTGGCACTGTTCTTGCCAAACTACTTGCTATATAGGTGTAGTTGATTTACTTATAATTATTTAAATGTGTCTGGTTGGATGTTTACATTGCCCTAATGCTGTTTTAAAGCCTTTGTTCCCTTACTAGCCTCTTCTTGACACCATCTTCCTCCTTCTCATTTGCCCTCACTTACTTTTGGCTTTGCTTCTGCTTAGTTGGCTTTGTGATAGAGTCTGAAGGCACCTTTGACATCATCTCGTTGGATGGTGTCATTGACAAGACTAAGTGGGACATCATCCCCAATTAGATTGCATGATGGAAGATAAAAGCAGCCAAGGAAACAAGAAAGTGGAACATAGAAGAACAGAATTTTAGAACCATGGCTATTTTTGCCATGAATGTTAAAATTGCAGAGAGAGAGAGAGAGAGAGAGAGAGAGAAGGTCGTGCTTTTTGATATTTATGGAGAAAATGGTTTGAAAAAGGGTCAGGGCTTCTTATTCTGAATATCTGCTGCTCCTGCCAGTTGAAGCAAGTGTGCATAATCAATATGTATATTTTAAATCTAGAAAATGAATTAAAATTTTGTTTTTTTCTATGGTGTGCAGTAGGGTCTCCCAGGTGTGCCCTATGTGTTTGCTGCAACTTTCTTCACTATGTCCTGCCTCAACTTTGCCTCTGACTCACCTCCGTATTTTCCAGGTCGAAACTAATCAACTTCAAATCACATATTACCTGCTCTAAGGATTATTGTCAATCATAATATTTAAGACTTAGGCTGACCTAATATGGGAGAAATCAGGGTTGATTCTATGAGTTAGTTTCCCAAGGAGGCACATTGCAGTTGGTGAACCTGAGTAATCTATAGATAGTTTGGTCAAACAGCTTATTGGAACCTGAGGAAACCAGTGGTTTAGCTTTCCTCTCTGAATATGATTTGATCAATTCCTGAGAAAGCAATGGGTTGGCAGCTGAGTGAACTAAAGAATGGCATGAGTAAGGGTCCAATAGGACCCCGTGCCAAGCTAGTAGGCCTGATAAGATGCAACACCCAACACAGCTATGTGGCCACCAAGAATGCTTTCTAGGAGCACAGCGAGAGAGGGAGAGAGAAACAAGGACACAGTCATGTTTCCTTTCTTCCAATTTATGTTGGTCCCATAAAAGGCAGAGATGCAGATTTGTCCACTGTGAGCACAGATGATGCCTTACTTGATGAAGCATGCATGTCTCTTCCTCCTTCATAATATGATGTTTTCTCTCCTTTCCAGAGAAGATTTAAAGTAGTCTTGGAATAGACATCATTACAAAGACATGGGCCATTTCTAGGGGGAGGTGCATACCCATATAAACTTGTCCAATACATGTACCTAGACCAGTGGGCTATGAACTGGCCTTTTTCCCATTCTATACTGTTCCTTTAATGTTGATGAATGGTGGTGATGTAATTAGTCATTTATTTGTTGTGTTCCCGGCCTGTCAGGTGGCAAGGGAGTCAAGAGTTTTATTTGACCTGTGCGGACCCTCTTTGGCCAAGTTTGAGTATACTTTGCCTAAGATAAGCAAATGCCAATGGTAGACTCTGTCATAAAGGCAATCAGATTAAGACTGAGGAATAATTAACGTTCAGTTTTGTTGTTGGAAAACCAGGGTATATAGAATGTTCTTATTTACATGGTTTTTTTTTCTCTCCAAACCACCTCAGACAAACGACAATGCAAGACAAATGTTCCCTTTTAAGAAGCCAAGCAAAACAAAAACAAACCCCACAGAGCTGTGCTCTTCAGAGATCCCTTCTCAGATAAGCTGAGCAAAACCAGGGTGTGGTTTGTAAGATAGAAGCATTTCCAATTGCAAAGCTAGCAGCATCAGAGAAGAAGTATGTTGCTGAGTAATGTCGTACGGTTTGTCTTTGTGGATTGAACGCTGCCGTGACCTGCGCACTTGCCTGGTCCTTGATCCTTGTTTTTACAGGCCCCGGGCAGGCAGCAAAACTAGGAGAATTATGAAAGCAAGACAACGTATACACGAATACAAAGTATAGACAAATAGTTGTTCTTCCTAACGTTTCGCCAGTCTCTGTGGCCGGCATCTTCAGAGGACATCAGAGCACAAGAACAACCTTCAGAACACGGCCAAAGAGCCCGAAAAACCCACAACAACCATTAGATCCCAGCCATGAAAGCCTTCGCGAATATATAGACAAATACTTAAATTGCCCATAGGCTTCCTTTATATTGTACATGTATAAAGTCAGTTGTATACCCTGACAAATGTCTAAATACAAGTTGATATGACCCATAGAAAATCACTCCGTTGTGGAAGGTGGCAGATTTCTATCCCCCAAATAATCATCAGGTTTTACCTGCATCTATCTTTTAATTCTAGAGTTGTCAGGTTTCATACTAAGGCTTCCATTTTTTTTTAATTTCCAGAACTGTTGCTACAGTACGTTTTTGAGAAATTGAGAGAATGCAGTGTTTGTTAGCCTGCAACTCTAGCACATTAGAGACAATGCATGTTCCTGTACTCATTGCAGCAGAAATACCATTTTCTCAGAATGAGGCTTGAAAGGATTAGTAAGAGTAGTATTAAAAGATGGCGATGCGAGGTACCACAGAGTCTGATTGCTATCCGTGGAGGAATGTTTCTGACTGGTTAGCAGAGCAAAGATAAAGAGCAGCTGATGGGTTGCTCACCACTACTATTGCAAAGAGAAAGGGGTAGTAAAATAGGTTACAACTGTAGGACTGCTACTCTTTGGGAAAAAATATATGTAAGTGTTCTTGATTTGCTAGGGCAAATCTTTGACAGTAAATAATTCCTGCTGTGACTGATTTTTTAGAGAGGTATGCCTTTTATTGGATATTTTTCTGGTGTGATAATGATGCACAATACTGTATTTTTCAAATATTGCATTTGCTAAAGTTTTTTCTTCCTGTTTTAACTACCCATATTTCCTTGGCTAATAACAGTTTTGAGATGAATGTAGCAGGTGATTTTGCTTACAAGACATTTGTCTGACACATACGGTTCAAGTAGATGGCAGTTTTATACACGCACACATACACACAGAGTCATTTTCACAGTTGCAGCCCAATTATACTGCCTGCTGCATGAGAAAATGTACCAATATAAAGCACTAGCCATCAGAAGGTACATTTCTAACTTATTTTAGTCTTATATGGGCTCAATGTAATGGCTTTCTCGAAGAATTTGGATCACTGTAGTTTGATGGAAGTGTGGACAGAAGAAAAAATCGATTTGTGTTCTCCACCGCACCTCTTTATATGTGTGATATAAAGGGCACACATTGTCAGAAGCACCCAACCTGGTTGGCCCCGACAGGTGTGTCTGATGCCGGCTAGGAGGCTGGGGGGTCTGTGCTTGTGTGCTGAAGCCTTGACCCACATCCCCGCACATAACAAACAGAACACCAGGGCAAAGAATTACACCTTTTCTTCCAGCCTGTTGAGAAATAAGAACTGTATGTTAAAGGGGTGGTGGTAAAAACCTCTCCTCCTCAGCAATTTGGGGTGAGGTGACTGTTTCTTCCTTGTTGCCCACAGCGGGAGAAGAGACATTGTCAAAGCGGGATCACCAGGGCCAGCTTTCATCCCTCTGAACCCATGGCTGACTTCATTATCCCGGGGAAGTTGACATGGATGCGAATTGACTTACTTATTAACTTACTTTGTTTCTTTCACGTTTGCATCACTGGCTAGTCAAAGTCCTTTGATGCCCTAAAGATGTCTCTAAACCTGTAAAATAACAACAGGGAAACAGCGACCAGAAAAACAGAATATATATAAAAAAAGTTAAACCTGATAATGACATCCCTATGGGATAGAAAACAAAAAACAGATAATACAAATGAAGCAAATGTGCTTAATTTGTATCATTTTAATAGTTAGAAAGAGCAGAGTCTCTTGGTGCAAATTTTATTACCATTATTTTCAGTGTTTTAATGGCGGAGAACACATGCAATCAGTTTGTCTGTTGTATTGCTCAAAAGCCTGCCTCCCATGCAGCACTTAATCTTTTGCTGGTGCCAAATGAAGGTTAAATACTAGCAGGACTTCTCGTCCAGTGGAAACATCTCGCCAATTAAAACCCAAACTAGATTGACATTATTTGTATTATTCCATTAAGCATGGATGCAAATCCTCCCCTGCCTCTAGTGCAACATAGGTGGCAGGCTGACAACCAGGAAGGCTGCAGCAGAGGTGGGGGAACCACTTTCCACCCTTCCCTCCCCAGAGCAAAATGCATCACTGGAATTTGCATTTGGAGGAAATTCCCAGTTGGTACTATTTGGGAGTTTCCTTTCAAAAGCAAGTTCAAGCACTAACTTTAGATAGAAGAGGAGTTTTCCACAAGGTTACGGAAAAGAGGAAAAGATTAGTCCCTTTCATGCACATGCTTGTTGTGATCCTGATAATGATCAGCCATTTTCTGAGCTGATGCTATTTGAATACACACACACACACACACACATATACACACACACACACACACACACATATTTAAACGGAACATTCATTACAAATGTCACATCTAGTTCGGCCCTATGTGCAGTTGGTGATTCATCTAACTACAATAATGCTTAAAACCAGTGAAAATGTCCTCTTCCCTTTTCATCCATTTGATGGCATTTGTTAGTAAAATGTGATGTAGTTTCACCATGGACAGCTTCCATGCCTATAGGAATGGGTGCAGTGGTACACCAGCCATAGCTGTGAAAAATGGATTTATCTTCCTGGTCACTGTGAAAAGCCAGGCAGTCTCCAGCTTCAGAACTGATTCCAAAAGCATACCAAACCCAAACATTGGAGTCTTCAAGTCTAACCCTATTCAACACACTTCACACGGTTTTAATCTCCCTCACTATTGAAGTTGCACTGGGGCATTTGGGGAAATTCCTTGGGGTTGTATTGCTTCCTACCCCCACTTGTCAGAGCACAGTGACTGATGTCTCGCCCAGGCATTCCTCAGATTTAGAGCATAGGTAGAGAGTGTATTTTTACTTCAACAACAGCGGTCAATGATGTTTCCCTATGATAATTTTAACTATTGTTGTCACTGTGATGCAGGGATACAGCATGGCATCAGAGTGTCTATATTTTTCAGGGAAGTTAGTCTTCTGTTGTTCATCTTCGCATTGAAGCACCTCTATACGCTCCTCAAGGAAACTCTCAGGTCCCAAAAGCAGTTTCAGAAATACAGACCTGATGGAAATCTTTTCTTACATTTTTGAAGTATTGAGGAAGAAATGAGTCACTTTGAACAACCTTAGAACTCTGCGCTGTTAATAGCTAGGTTCTTGAAGTGCTGTTTTTCCTTGAAACAAATTCTCCTTAATTCTGAGTCAGAAAAGGAAAGAAAGAAAAAGCAAAAAGCTTGCCCAATCATTTATTTTTTATCAGAAATATGTCTTGTGGAACAAGTGGTGATTAATATATAGTGGTATGAAATTATCAGGGCGGTTAGCTTGCTAGACACATCCTTGGTGAACTGTTAGTAAGAACTGTGTTGTGTTCATTTCTAGCAAAGTTCTCCCGCACTGCATGGCGCCTGTACTTCACTCTTTCATATGCCTCCTTGGTTTTGTTCCTTTCTCTTAGGTTTTTCACAGATGTCCACACAGAATTGCACACATGTACCATTTACACTTGGAGGCCCTACACAGAGACATCACCACATACTCATACTTCCCAGTTGTAGTTATTTTTCTCACCCACAAAACCAACTTTGATAATAGATACACACATTTCAGAAAAGGTTATCTTCTCTCGGCCCGTGGAGGCCCCGTCACTCATGTTTCAGCACTCTATCCATTACAATCACACTGGCTCTCATTTGTGTTATGGTAAAGCAAATCCAAAGCATCACATGGACATCATTTTTCTTGGCTTACTTATAAATATTTCAAGGCATAGGAACTCATGACATTAACTTTCTGTATATTATGTAGATTCTAAGCAATGATGATGGCATTGCAAACTGTTCAGATACCAAATTTAGCATGCAGGGAGAACTTTGTGTTTAACTATATATGCTTCACAGAGAAGATTAATTACAACGTTGATTTGACTAGTAGAGTATTCTTTCCATTTACTCAATTTGTTTTAATTTAATATGTAGACTGCGAACTAGAACAGGACATTTTTTGTCACAAAGATGGGAACCAACTTGGTTAGATAAACTAATAATAAATAGACGTACTGTACTTTATTCTCACTCAAACCAATGGGACAAATGTAATTTAATTTAATCTTCAGGCCATCAATTATGTTACCAACTGATCTGATGAAATAATTCATGTCTAACAATGGGAAATGTTCTGCAAATATATGTATATATATATAGCAATGGGGATTGGCCCACCCTGTGTGCCTTGCCTTTGGCTCAATTCTACCACACCTTTCTTTTCTTAGCATCCAGACTACCCAGCAGCTAGCCAGAAATCGTCACTTTGTGCTGCTCTGAGCGTTTCTGCCATCCAGTTAGCAAATCTCATGTCCTTCGTCTCTTCTCTTTCATACCCCTTAGTCCCTTATCTCTTGTGTTTTCCTACTTCCCTAATTCTCTCCTGTGCCCTATAGTTCTCTCAGTCTTGATTCTCTAGTCAGAGAGGGCAAACAGGCACAGAAAATACCCAAGTTCAGAGGTTTTTTGTTGGTTGGTTGGTCTGTTTACCTGTTTGTTTTTTTGCAGACAATTTACGGGACAGATGGAACGCTCCCCTGGGTCAGGGTCAGCCACCTGGCAGGGTTGAGCAAATGGAGTGCACTGATGGTTGTGCTTAAAGGGTTCAAATAGTAGGATTTCCCCCCCAAAAATAACAAGTCTTAAAATAGGAACCAACAAAGGTAGAGTTATTGGTTGGTTGTTGCATACCTAACCTGTTTATTTGTTTGTCCATTTTGTTTTGGTTTGTTCGTTTCAACACCACAAATTTACTCCTATATCAATATTACTGGTGGAGGGACAACTGATTAGTTTGAAATGCAGATAAGACAGAATCTATAGAAAATATAACCTTAAATTACAAATGTGCTTGATTCATACTTATTTTGTTATTTTAGACTAATAACTTTGTAATAAAGTAAATTTTGTCCTTTGAATACTTTATACTGTATTTCATTCATACATAGCAGTAGTTCCCAACCTTGGGTAACCTGGGTGTTCTTGGACTGCAACTCCCAGAAACCCTAGCCTGCACAGTTCGTTGTGAAGGTTTTTGGGAATTGCAGTCCAAGAACACCTGGGTTACCCATGGTTCAGAACTATTGGTATACAGCTACTATAGTATAAGAAGAAACATTCAATATTGATTGTGAGCACCAATTCTGATAACAGACAATGTTAAGATAACATATAGTTGTCCATACATATTTGAGAAATCATATTACAGTTAATAACACTGTTAAGTATAGGGTAGTAGCATCATAAAAGTCAATTTGAAATGTTATCATGTCCTTGTGAGTGTATTTCATGAACCTAATCAAACAGTAGTTTTCCACTGTGGAGAAAATATATTAGGGATTATAATCAGTTTTATGTAAGTTAAGCATTTATCTCAAATGTGCGTAAATTGGCATTCCATATAACCCACAGAACTGGTTACACAGAATATAGTTAAGTACCCACAGCAGTCAAGGGATAATGTGATAATGGTAACATCCCTTTAACAAATCTTTCTTTTCTTCCCGTAGGATTATAAAATTATTCTACACACAGTGGATCAGACACATGGAATTAATGGAGATAACATCATTTTATAAAGAAGTTAAAATAGAGTGGGGGCAGTGGAATGCTGAAGATTTTGTTCCAGTACAAAAGAAATGTTTTGGGTTAATCTTTACTGAGTTGTAGAAATGTGTCCTTTAGTTAGAATAGTAGTAACTTGTATTCTTTCTGTTCTAAATAAATATTTGTGTGACTTAAGATGATATATTATTTCTAACTGGTGTGCTCAGTCAACAGACACCCATGATGAAGATTGGCTTCCTAATGATACACATTTGCCAGTACGTTTGCTACACATATCGTGTACAGTTTTATGCAGAGATTGGAAACATTATTAATTTTTTAACTATTTGGGGAGAGTAGTGATCCCAAAAGTAATTTTTCCTATATCTGCTTTTAGAAGTATACATACTCCCTGGAGATATATATATAAGGTAATGTGTGAAGCAACCCCAACCAAATCCCACTAAAATAAGTAATATGCATTCGTAGATATATGATTACATTCAACTCATGATTTAGGAAGTGACATTTCTGTAGTGCAGTTTTGATAGAGCACCAACATCAGCACTTTTTTGATAGAGCCCCACTATAATTTGTAGAATTTCTGCATGAATGTTCAATGCTGTTCTCTGGGTTGAATCAATTGACTTCTCATATTCAGCCATTTTCCCCACCTACAGACTGCCATTCCCTTCTTCATTTTCAAAACCAACTTGTGAAATGTATCGGCAACACTATATACGATAAAGGCAACTTTTCCTTGCAGTAGCAAATTGTTTGACTAGGATAGCATGGATTTCACAGGTTATTGGATTTAACAACCAATAACATTGTCCTGAAGACTTCACAACTTGTTGTCTACCTCCCTTGGGAAAGCAAAACCAATGGATTTATCGGCCATATCGTGAACTGCCTTTGGTTTGGTAATTCCCAGGCTGCTCAGGACTGGAGTATGATTGTCACAGATTGATCAAAGCCATTTCAGTTCTTTTCAATCAATTTGATTTTGAAAGCCAAGCTTGACTCAGATTAAAGTGGGTGTGTGCGGAGGGGAATCTTAGATATGCATCTCCTGCTAATACACTCTACACTTCTGATTTACTTCAGACACTCCAGCATTTTCAATAAAGATCTACCTTATAAAGACTTATAACCTTATTGTGCCCCTCAGACATGCTGAAACCTCATCATCATCCTTGTTTTAACTCATTACCCAACAGATTTTTTACAGAAAAACCTGTTCACTCTCTCTCCTCCAGCTCTTTCCTTCTCTTGCTATAGCCGAAATGAGTCAATTTCATTTCAGATACTCTATTCTAAAACAACTTCATCTTCATACCAAAGGCTGTGAGAATATCATACTATTTCGCAAGACTTGGGCCTGCTCGTGGATGATGGAAAGGGAGCAGCAATACACAGAGAAGCTGATGAAGACCACTTAGCAGTGCCACCAGCCATGTTAGCTCAAGGATTTTGCTCAAACAGTTACTCTCCAAAACTCTCCTTACTCTGAGGGCACAAATAGCCAGCTAGAGTTCTGCACTACTCATTGGGCTTGAACCCTCTGAATTTAATTTGAATTTAATTTAAATTTAATTTAAAGGCCCACAGTTGAATCTACAACAACAGCTTCAGCTGCAGGCAGTTTCTCAGCTGGTCTTTTAAAAGAAGGCAAAGGAAATATTTTTTAAAAATTTTTAAATAACTGATGCGGTGCATCAGCAATAGCCTACATACATTCTATATGCCTATATACTTTCCTCACCCTCTGCCAAGTAGGGCAGGGAAACTTGACATTATCCTGAAGTGGCTCTCTTATTATGCCACTTTACAATATTCACAGGAGCCATTTCTGTGCGGTCAGGCCTAATTAGATCACTAATATCTAGGCCAAGTGTTCCTTGTTCCTAGTGCAGCCATACCCTGAGTCATATGCCACTTCACATAGGCAAAATAAGTTTAATTCATCTCTAAATCAAATCAGAATATGAGCTGTTGAGGTCATAATACTCCAAGTTAAGATAATCAGTGGCATGTCTTATTAATGCTTCTGTTAATTATTACATGCAATGCTATTTAGTTTCTTCATTAAATGATATAGAATATTAGCTCAGTGGTTTGCTTTTGAGCAGTTTCAACTATAAAAGAATGTTCTGGCAAAAAGGATAAAAGAAATGACTCAATGTACTACAAAACATTAACACTGACTTTGCATCTCTAGCACTTTTTTTTATTTCCGTTATTTTCCTGTAGTGTTGATTCAGCCTTTTTTTTCCTCAGCCATCTTGAAACATGTGAAATTATGCCTTGGTAGAAAGTGTTTAGCACAGCCGAAGGAGCTGCATGCAAAAATTAGTAAATGGCCAATTTGTCAAAAATGTAGACTACAAATATTATGCAGCAACAAATGTTCCGGGGGGTCTTGCCTCAAGTTCCTCTGAACACGCTTTTATACTGACTGTCTACAGCCAGTGATCAATTCAAATCCACGAATATGTTGCAAACATATCACTAAGCTACTGTACATTGTTCTGCTGGATTAATGTCAGCATTTTCAGCCATAGGGTGAACTAGTTCAGATCTGAAATCGTAGATAACACTTGACTTGATTCTGCCTTTGGCTGTGAACGTGACAATACTTAACCATAAGATGTCCTGATTTGGCTAGCCAGATTTAGCTCAACACAACTGCGCTCACTCTGTGCCTATGCAGAAAACAAATCCCTGCTGTTCTATAACTGCAGTGATAGATGTTTGGTTTGGTTTTAATAATGACAATGCCCAAAATACATTGGGCTGTTCAGAGAACTGTCATCCAAAAAAGTAATATTTCCATACTGCTGCTTTTTTTAATGAAGCAGATATGTGCACTTATTTTTTTTAATTTATATCCTACTGTTTTTACTGAAAGTGCAAGTTGTTCTCCCCATTTCACAATGCCCACGTCAGCCAATACTAAGGTAGTGATGATTGACTGCATTACCATTTCCCAGAGTGGGTGAGTGGTAGTTAGTCTGTTGCAGTAGAAACAACCAAAATCTGGTAGCCCTTTAACACAAGCATTATTTATTTATTTATTTCATTTATTTATTTTAAATATTTATATCCCATATTTCTCCTAAAGATCCCAAGTTGGCTTTGGCACACACGTTTGTAATCGGATGCATCCAATGTATTTTTTAACTTAAAAAAGGTATGCCCTGAAAGAACCCAAAATGAAAGAAATACACATTTTTTCACTGTATACATTCTAGGAGCCTGCGCTGCAGCATTAGGTGATTGAGGGCTGCCATTTTTTGTTTCCAACAATGCTCCAGAGTGACGTTATATCAGGGGTACATTGATTAATAAGAATGATGTATTATCAAGTCAGTTCTGACTGTATGATGATTTCCAGTGGTTTACCATTCCCATCTGGGCATTCCAGCACGGGACTCTTTGCATAAGGCCACACTAGATGGTGTTTTTTTTTCTTCTGAAGGACACCGTAGGTGACCGAACTCCCAACACGTGGTTTGTGACCAGATGCTTCAACTCACTGAGCTTTCAGTGGGCATAATGGTAATTAAACCATTAAATCACACTGGCTTAGCCCTCACTCTTTGCTTGTGTGCAGGCATATATGAGAATATAAACCTTTATTATTTCTATGTTTGCTGCCCTTTCTGTTAGAATAAATATACATGTTTGTAATACTCCATGGCTTTGGAAACAACACTCATCTTAGGGCAATCCATCCTCACCAGGTGGAGCAGTGAGCTGAAAACTCTACCTCTCAGCTTTCGCTGTCATGGAGAGAGGAGAAGACACAAGAACCAGGAAGTGCTGGCCAATCGCAACATCACCCTAATTCCTTCTTCTGATGCTCAGATTATCTGTCTATCCTTCTTGCTTATTAAAGTTGGCTGCAAGTTTCCTAGAATTTGAGAAAGTCATACTTGATGGACATTCTAAGCCCCAAAAGTAACCTTTTTAAGCTCTGAAGGTTCCAAATCAGAAGTATCCTTTATGGTATGATCAGGTATACACCCTTCTAGCCATCTGACTTCCATCCTTAGTTGTTCTCTTCATCTTCTACTTTAAGTAACAACTTTACTGTCTGCACTGTATGTTGAAAGATATCCACAACGAAAAATAAAAAGAATCGCAAAACTGCAGGTTGACACAGAAATCTGTTTTCAGATATGTAAAAATTATTTTTTTTTAAAAAAAATGTACCTGCAGGGTTCCCTCATCCTTATTTCTATCTGGAACAGGAAGCATATATAGCCCATTCTAAATCTGTCCAAGACAGCTTTCAGACTGCCTACAAGACTCCTTGTCTGTGTTTTACGTGACACACTTAGGCCTGTGGTTGATTCATTTGTTTAGAACAAGTTTACCAGAAGAACCACGGGTGTGCATTATCAACACAATGCTTGCAAATGCAGCATAAAAGCAAATGGTTGCGGTCTGCCTATTTCTCATGAATCTAGATCAGAGCTCTTTTAGAATTCTGATAAATAACCAGAAAGGGACAGTGGTGTTCTTTGAGGCATTTCAGGTAGCAAGTGGCCTACATCCAATCAAATAATTTAAATCAGTAGCTGCCTGAATAAGAATCAATTTAGATGTTAATTGGAATTATCCCAACGAACCCAGTTTTCCTTCCATAATTTCCCCAAGATGCATGCTCCCATAGTTAGAGTTTAAAATCATCATCCAATTTTAAACTCTCATCAGACAAAGCACGTTAAATGCAAGATACACTGTTGAGGAAAATCATGTGCTGTGGCAAATGGACATCTTTTATCAATTGAGGGAGCCCTTCTTCTAAATGCATGAAAGTGAACATCTAGTTCATTGGTTCTCAAACTGGAGAAAGTGAAGAAATTCCAAGGGGATCATGAGAGGGTGACATCTTCATAGAGGAAAATGAAAACCTTGGATATATTTAAAAACCATGCTCTGACCAGCCCGAGGCCTCGTTGCAGCAGGCTATCCTTGTTTTCCCCCTCCCAGGAAGACTCTGCCATTTAGAGCAGAAGTGTGACCAACCTGGACTGGGAAAGGCATCTTCCATCACCTAACTATACAGATAAAGATCTCTTCCTCCTTGTTTTCCCCCTCCCAGGAAGACTCTGTGATTTAGAGCAGAAGTGTGACCAGCCTGGACTGGGAATGGTATCTTCCATCACCTAACTACACAGATAAAGATCTCTT